CCCCCCCCCCCACAAAGCCATACACCTTCCTTGTTCAGGTAACTGTCCGGCCAGTCCTGCACAAATATGTGATTAATCCTTTCAAAGGGGTAATTTTTTTTCCTGCAAGGCATCCTTAAAAAACACCGAGGAGAGTGGCCCCAGCAAAACCCAAAAACAACGCTCCGCCTAGGTAGCCCACCTGATCATGGTCCCAAACAAACCATGCCGCTTAGAACACAAAGACTGAAGATTCACATTTATTTGATATATATATGTGTGTGTGTGTGTGTGTGTGTGTGTAAATGATATGATATGGAAGCCACGGATGAGTAATTGTTACCAGCTTTTCAGAAATGTAGTTGGCAAGAAATGCACCTCCAAGAATGGCAAGAGATGTTGCCAACAAGTGCCCAGCTATAGCTCCACTTGCTACTCCCCATGGAGACTGCACAAACAAAAGGGGTGATGCCCAAGTTCGACTTCTAGCAATATCGATAACGGGTGACCATGCATAGCATACAGCCCTTGAACATACTGGGGACACATAACACTCCTTATTTGTCAGATTAAGATTATAGCTCAATTTACCTTCTTCCCGTCAGTCGTGGGAGACTCTAGAAATGGGGTTCATCCGTATTTTTTAAGGGGATGTTAATAGACTCCATAAAAGATAAAGAAAAACTGCAACCTAATGTTAACACAAGATGATGCTACACATACCTGGGCAGCGCCAAGAGCTATTGTAGCGAGCATAGAGCGGTCTCCCCATTCCTACAAGAAAATCATGCGCTCTAAAAAAAGATAGACACCATAATATAAACTTAAACTGTGGAATATGATGGGCTGGGCATGCCATGAATACAAACCTTACGAATACAAGATTTTGAGATTCCCACATTGTTATTAATTAACTGGAAGAGAGGGAAAAAAAACATTTGACTGTTGAAGAGGATGTTCTTACCGCGAAAAACACAAGACTGAATGACTTCCATAGAATTTCAAGAGGACTTGAGAGCCATTTTGATGCCTGACCAAATCTTATCAGAAAGTAAAGCAGAGTAAGTGCCTGTTTGAACTTTGAACAAAGGGTCTTGGAGGGGAAGGCTTTGTAGGGTTAACCTATCTGATAAATATAATGTTTCTAAAATCGAATATAAGTCTGTTGAAATGTTATATGGCCATGTACATCATATTATGTCAATCTTTCAATTTTTATAAAATCTCAAATGTGAGTGTGTAAAGATACATCTTAACCCTCCAAAAAGCGCACCCACCCAAACGCGACCCTAAGGGACTTCTATCTTCTTTTTTTTTTGTGAAAATCGGAGTATATTCATAGGTCATAGCAACAACAAAATGTAGCCTAGCCGTGTAGAAAAGATATCCATCAAGGAGCATAAGGGGACAAGTTCATCCTACCCTTATGATGATCATCCTTGAAGAGGAATTCATTCAGGCCAGATTGACTAAAAAAGGTCAAACTGAACAAATAAATTGGAGGGAGTCCGTATTATCTTTCATGCACACATGTTTATTCGCTCATTTTATATAAAAGTGAAGATAAATTGCATAATCGAAAATGAACTTATTATTATTATTATTATTATAAATAATGCATTATAATTCCTTCAAAAAAGAAATTATTCCTCTCTCTGTCTCTGTGCAACCTCTCCAATATTCAATTTCATTGTCTCCCCCACTTTATCCCTCTTCTTCCTCTTCCACATCAGCAAGCTAGCGGTTATTTCATCTCCCCCGATCTTCTTGTCTCCCCCACTCTCTCCCTCTTCTTCCTCCCTCCACAACAACGAGCTAGCTGTTA